TCTGAGCAGGCCAATTCATATTTTTTAAGTCACCAGATGTTTCTGTCAGGGATGATTCTTGCACAACATAGAAGTGTATTAAGGGTCATTATCTTGTTGAAAATAAAATCCCTGGCCAATCAGTCTCTTTTCATATAGCAACAAGTACCTCACAAGGATGCTGTGATGCTTCTTTTGATCCATGATTCCATTGATTTTTTATGCGATCATCTGCTCCTTTCGAGCAGACTGATCTCCAAACTATTATACGACCATCTCCATGTTTTACTGAAGGTGTTAAAAGTCATTTTTGTAATGTTCCCCGACTATACGGCACACACAAGTTTTGCGTTTGGGTGAGAAAGTTTCGAATTTTGATTCATCGGTCCAGAGAACTTGTTCCCAGTCTATTTGTGTCCAATCCTTGAGCTACTTGGCAAACGCGAGTCTTTTCTTTATGTTGCCAGCTCTTGGCAGCAACACGACCAATCAGACCATTTTCACGCAGGCGTCTGTAAATAGTAGGTCTTGATACTTTCATCTCTTCACTTCTGGCGCTAGTAATGTCATCATGGAGTGGTCATACTGTCAACCACCAATTAAAAAAAAATCTTTTTTTTACTTGTTATACACAGATGATGAACATCAGAGGCACTTAACTTCCTTTTTGCACCTCTATTGCTGCTAGTTTTCAGCGAACAAGTCTCTTTGAAAGGCTTGATGGTGTTTCTTACATAACATCTGCAGCATCATGTAAGGCCAGAATACGGCTACAAACAATCTGAGTGCTCTTTCTGTCATGCCATTGTTTTTAACACTGTGACACTGCTCAAAGTTCATGTCACCTCACATACTGGAACAACTGACCATCAGAGGTAATTTTGCGGAATAGTGTTGCCTCAAACCAGTTTCAACTAATTTTTTGAAGCATCAATAATCATGAAATGAGCCTTCAAACATGCATTCAGGCTATGCAAGAGTCAAAAAATAAAATTGCGACACCTTTCAATTGTGATTAAAAAAATGTATGTTTTCAGTGGTTTTTTTTTTATTAAATTACCCATATTTTTACCTCAGTCTACTTTTTGGGAATGATTTTTCTTTAACTCTTGCTGCCTTCAATAGTATTTTTCAATAATTTTCTACAAAAAATTATAGAGAAGTAATGTATTTTTACCCTTCTTTTGACAAAAGTGGTGGTGTATGATCATCACTGCACACCACTGTATGTATATTTACACACACAAGATTTTGGACTCAGGCAAGACATTTTTAATTTGACACACAGCAAAAACAGGAAGTCAGTCCTCAAGAAGATTCTTGAGAGGCAGGACCGCATGACCCAGGTTTGTTTCACTTACCAAAATTGTAAGGATGTGCAGTGCACAATTCTAGTCTTGATCCATTCAACTCTTAAACACTAATGTCAATCGTTCCACTCACCTGGATAGTTTTGGCCCACTATTCTCGAGTAAATTAGGGCTAGTGATCCTTGGCGATGACAAGTTAAGGCCCCTGCCCATAGCCATCAGTTTTTAAATAGCAAATGGAAGTGAATGATCGGAACACTGGTTCATCTAAAGAGACTCTGTTCAATTATGTTGATAGCTCTGTTGCTGGGGTGTGTATGCGTCGTGGAAATGTAACCCAATTAAAATGTCTGGCATACATCAAAGTCCACTAAAGTACACAAACCCTTTTGGGGAAGTTCACAGTTTGGATTTACTCTTCTGAAACCAGAATAAGTTTCACGTATTTGAGACAAATCTCTCTGGAATAAAGTTATCTTTCCATGAAGATCAGAAGTACGTTGTTTTTTTTTTTTTTTTTTTTAAGACTGCCAAACTGGGGAAAAGCATTGACTGAGGCAAGAAAATTATTTTTTACGAACTGCTGGTTTAAAGGAATCCCCACATTTAAAAAAATTAATTAATTTTAAAAGCCAAGAAAGGGAGTTTCAAGGACAGGGACAATTATGGATTTTCATCATCATTTAATACTTGCTAAAAAACAATCATAATTATTCATTTGGGAACACTAGTATAGGTGGAATTTAGTGATACAGCCAAAGTAGGAGAGTGCAGGGCCAATACGCTGGGTCAGAAACTCCATTTAATTTCGAACTGAAATCTTAGTATGTGCTTCCTGCTTCACTGTGGGCCAATATACTGGGTCAGAAAATCCATTTAATTTCTAACTGAAATCATAGTATGTGCTTCCTGCTTCACTATGGGCCAATACGCTGGGTCAGAAACTCCATTTTAATCCATTTAATTCATTTAATTTCTAACTGAAATCATAGTGTGCGCCTCCAGATTCACTATGGCAGAAATCATAGAAAAGGCCAAGAGGATCTTATATAACTGAATTGCATCCAATAAATTATGGCACTGTGGGTTATACATTTGCATATTCTTGGAATAAGTTGAATTTTGAGTTTGTCAAAGTCTGATGTACTGGAACAGGAAGGACGTCCTTTACCTTAAAGTGACAAGATAACACAATGACTTCTAACATTGGCATTAGCCTGGTCTGTAGAATTTATGTGGGCTGACGAGCTGAGAAACACACTATTAAATGTATCAGAAAACTTCTCAAGAGTAACATACCCTTGGAGCATTGTTGTCGGCCCAAAGTACTGTGCTTATGCAACACTGAAATTCCTCCATTGTGTGACTTCAGTGTATCTTAAAAAAAAAAAAATGTAACAAAATGTTACAAAGTTACTAAGCCAAAGAACCACAAGAGTTGGTGACAAACATGAAATGAGGCACAGACACATGGAGAAAAGCCCACAATCAGCATTTGGAGGTACCACAAGAAAAAGCAAATGCAGAATAATAATTCTCTAATGCCAACCAATATAGAGTTGTGTGCAGTGATGATAATACACCTAACAAAATGAAGATGAAGAAAAATTAAAAATCAGAAACTACTATTCAAGTATTTATTTCATATAATATTGGATGATATAGATGAAATTAAGTAAACAGATAACAATATATAGTAAAAACAAAAATGATAATGTCTTTTTGAGAGAAAAAGTCAATATCTAGTGTGGCCACCTTTTTTTTTGATTACAGCATTGAATTTTTTCAGTCATAGTTTTCACATTTTTTTTTTATCTCCTCACTGGCTAAACCATGATTTGAAAGTCATTCCAAAAAGGTTCTTTCAATGTTACTATGGATTTGCTCAATCGGATTAAGGTCTGGACTTTGAGCTGGCCGAGTCATAACTTTTATGTCACCAGATGTTTCTTTCCAGCTGAGATAGTTCTTGTACAACTTAGAAGTGTGTTTAGGGTCATTATCTTGTTGAAGGTAAAATCCCTCACCAATCTTCTCTTTCCAGATGGCAATCCGTTCCTCACAAGGATGCTGCGATACTTCTTTTGATCCACGATTCCGTTGATTTTTATGAGATCACCGGCTCTTTTCGAGCAGATTGAACGCCAAACCATATTACCCCCTCCATGTTTTACTGAAGGGGTTAAACAGTCATTTTTGAAATGTTCCCCAACTCTACGGCGCAAATAAGTCATGCGTTTGGGTGAGAAAGTTTTGAATTTTGACTCATTGGTCCAAAGGACTTGTTCCCAGTCCATTGGCGTCCAATCCTTGAATTTCTTGGCAAAGTTTGATTTTGCCAGCCCTTGGCAGCAACACTACCAATCAGACTATTTTCACTCAGGCGTCTAGAAATGGTAGATCTTGATACTTCCATCTCTTCACTTCTGATGCTTTTAATATCATCACGGAGTTGTCATGCTGTCAACCGCCGATTTATTTATTTATTTATTTATATGTTTTTTTAACTTGTCATACACAGATAACAAACATCAGAGGCACTTTACTTCTGTGATACACCTCTATTGCCACTAGTTTTCAATGAACAGGTCTCTTTGAAACGCTTGATGGTGTTTCTTATAGTGCCATGGCAGCATGTAACGTCTTCAACATCATATAAAGCCACAGTGTGGCCACAAATAATCTCAGAGCTCCTTCCATCTGTCGTGCCATCGTGTTTAACACTGTGACACTGCTCAATGTTCATGTCACCTTGTATACTGAAACAACTGATCATCAGAGGTAATTTTGCAGAATAATGTTACCTCAAACCAATTTAAACATTTTTTTTAGTATCAATTATCATTGAATATGCAAAAATGCATTCAGGCTATGAAAGAGTAAAAAAAAATAATAAAATTTGTGACAGCAATCAATTGTCATTAAAAATAGATGTTTTCAGTGTTTTTGCTTACCCATATTTTTACTTCAACGTACTTGTGGGAATGACATTTTTTTTTTTTTTGGTCCTCATTGCCAACAATAGTATTTTTCAATGCATCTTCACCAAAAAAATTCACAGAAATATATACATGTGCAGTATGTATACTTTATATACTCTGTTTTGAGTAATAAGTACGCTACTTTCTTGAGTACAAAGAAGAGAAAATGTGTTCTCTCTGCCTGAGTATCATTTACTCCTTTAGAATTTATGATACACTGCAAAAGATTTAGCTGATTTATCCTGGTTGGTGCTATGAATTCTCTGCACTGATGACCTTACTTAAGGTGAGTGGAAAACTGAGGGCTGTGTGTGGCCAATCAGCTGTAGCTATTGCATCTTGTACAGCCTCTGGGCTTAGTAAAAACCTGGGACCCATTCTAAAGAAGCCATGCTATTGAGGCCTGTTCTCATTCTCTCACTTTCAATAAATCTATTTGAAAGTTATTGTATGTGATGCAAAAACGGTGAGTTAAGATCTAGGTTAGGAGTGTTTGTCGAATGACAGGCATGAGTTTGATGAATGCGTGCAATCTAAACTGAAACGAAGTGTGAAACGGAGGTGATTTTCTCCCTAGTAGGCCTCATGTTCCTGGCCTGCTTGCTGTTGAACACAGGACCAGGTAGAGCAAAGTTCTCGATCAGTCTCAGCAGTCAGGGCAGTCGCCTCAGTGGAACACTTGATTATTCCTGCTGCACCGGTAATTTTTGTATCATTTTAATCAAGGGGTGGCACAGTGGTGCAGTGGGTAGGAATGTCTCCTTACAGGAGAAGGTCATTGCTTCAAATCCAGTCAATGGCATTTTGTATACAAAGCCTCCAGGCACTCCTGTTTCCTCCCACAGTCCAAAGGCGTGCATGTTAGGCTGATTGGAGACTCTAAATTACCCTCTACATATGAATATCTGAGCGAATATTATGTGATTTTATTCCTACATGTATTTACAAGAGTACAATGGATGTCATGATATAGCAGTAAAATGCTGCGCTGAAAGTGTCTGAGAGGGACACTTGGCAAAGAATGTGACTGCATTTTTACACCCCATGCCATTATCCTAGGACAGAGGTCCTAAGTGATACATTACTGGATCCCTGGATGGTGGTCATCTTATCATCGTCTTCACTGGCGCAAATATTAGCTTTACAGATGCCTGGTCTTGCTTCATCCACCACCTGCAATGAAAAGTCAGTTAACCCACGTGGAATCCGAGAGATGACCTCCTGCTGGGTGTTCTTTTTTTTTTTTAGCATCCTGCTGTTTTTGCAACCACCATGCAATTGACTCTCCCCTGCCATTGTCATTATTTCTTTCAGTCACGTTTCCCGACTGTACTGACTCTACCACGGGGGGGAACATCCCGAGGTGAGGAAGACCGTTTAATTGTCGGCCATCTTGTAGCACAGGCTGAGGACCCGTGATGATGACCTCAGGCTACTGCTTGATTCCCCATTCATCCCCGCCACCAAATGCTCCTGCCTACCCTCCTTAATTAGGCTAATTTGGATCACAATATTTTGAAGTTTTTGTAGTATTTGATTTAGGTAGACTTCTTTTGTACTCAATGACATCTGTATGTATTTAAATTTTATACTTTGGTTCCTTCTCAGCACTGATAAGTTGAGGTCATTTTTGGTAATGCAGCATATTTCATATCTGGGCTTGAAATGTTTTTGCCATCTTTGGGATTACAACTTGAATTTATCAGTGAATGCACTTATGTCTCTCCTACATTGTGAGTTGCTGAGGATAAAAGCCCCTGCCATTTGAATACAATGTAATGCAATGCAATCGATATGCAACATTACATAATACCTAAGTACTGCTGAGGGGTTATTGGATTTCTATTGACCGCTCCTATAACCCAATTCTCTGTGATATTAAATGGGCATCCTCCAGAGCTGATCTCTTCTGCAGGAATTGAATGAAGACCAGTTCTTTGTGGCTCATTTGCCCCATTAGAGTGAGCTAGTGCCCTCTACTGGTTGTTTCTGCCTCCTGCACTATCTCCTTGCCTGCCCTTCACCTGTCACACACCCAGGAACTGGCTGGTCTTCCTGGAACTTAGCCAGCCTTGAATATGCCATGAACTGAGTCTGGTCATCTGTGTTGTTGCTGAGAGGCAATCTATTAAATTGGGCTTTATTTGTGACATACTCTGAGAACAGGGGCAGGGTTTGGGGGTTCTTTTTGATATTTTCAATTATAGTCCTTTATCCCAAGAGCTTGAATTTGTCTTGTACAACACATACACCTGATATGAATTTGTATAAGCATATTCAGTTGTTTGGAATCGCTAGGAATTAGTGGCATAATGAATTCCACCTAGTATCAGGGTATTATGCCTGACAATCCGGTTGCCTCCGCCAGAAGGCTGGGACTTGGCTGTAGGTGGACTTTCCAACAAGACAATGACCCAAAGCATACCTCAAGATCCATACAGAAATGATTCTGTGACAACAAAATCAATGTTCTGCAATGACCATTTCAGTCGCCAAACCTCAATCCAATTGAAAACCTTTTGGCGGAGTTGAAGAGGGCAGTTTATAAATGCAAACCCAGTAATGTGAAGGATCTTGAAAGGATCTGCTTAGAGGAATGGTCCAAAATCCCCCCAAATGTGTGCCTTCACTTTGTCAAAAATTACAGGAAAAGACTCCATGCTGTTATCCTTACCAGAGGTGGTTGCTGTTGGTACTAAATGAAGGGTACCAATAATTAAGAAACTGATTTTATTGAAATTTATTTTGCATTAAATGATAGTTATGATTTTGGTTGTTTCCATTGAAACATTAATAAATTACATCACGCATGATGATATATTGCGTTTCTCTATAATTATATTGTTTATATACTATTTTGTATTGTTTGTGCATTGACAGTCAGGGGTGCCAGTAATTTTTGAACCCACTGTATATTTTGAAAGTTTAACTGTCTGTGATCTCAAATATATGCTTATAACTACTTTAAACTTAAACCATAGGTGCTCTGCTTACTTGTTTGTGACTTGGAATTTCTCAGGAAAACCTGGGAGCGGAAGGGTTACGGTATCTTGCTAATATGGTCATTTGGTTCAAGAGCAACCTCTCAAATTATATTGAATCTAACAGGCTGAAAATGTATTTTTTTTGTTTTCATGCAGTGTAGTGTTTTAGTATTAATAAACTTAAGTTTTTGTTAGCCCGCTTGGCCTCTAGGTCTTTGCCAATTGGGCTTATGCTGCGGTCTGATGCCTTTGTGGTGGTCTGTCCTGCGTCCGTAAAATTTTTGCCTTGTCAGCTCTCTAGCACCTTCAGTTTTTCACAGATCCTTTTCGTATTTTATATGTGTGTATATGGGATGGAAATCGAGGCCAAGTTCGATTTTGGCCATGTTTGGCCAAGTGGGCGCAATAGCTTTGCCACTATTTTTTTCAGATGTCCCACAAGAAATGGCCTTCTCTTGAAAAAATGTTAGTTAGTTATTCATTGAAGAGAGGGTAGTCCATTTATCTGCAATGTGGGTGGACCCTCCCCTTCAGGCCACAGCATCTCTGATTCAGGTGTGTATAGGCTCAATCTGCTGGGTCTTATATTTTCCTCCATTTCCCAGAGGTATCCAGTAAGCAGGGAATGAATTACTCAGTTCCTGCTGTAATCAGAGCTGAGGATCCACTGGATAACAGCAGACTGCGTGTCTACCCTCTGGCGCCTTGACCATGAGAATGTCGATTCCACTCCATTTTATTTGAATTTTTATAGAGGTAGTACTATGCAGGAAAGCTGGGCAAACCAGGGACAACACCCTGAAATAAACAGCCAAAGGTTAATATAACTCCGTAATGGTGGGGAAAATGCTTAGTTTTGGGGAGAAAAAGAAACGCCTTGAGAAAAATTCCTCCTTGTGTTGACAAGTCTTGGTAAAGGGCATCTTCCACTCGCCAGCCCGGCAGAAAATTATATTGATTGCAGAAAAATATGGTCCAAGTGTCTGCAATCTCTCCTATTGCCTTTCTATTGGCTTTAATCAAATAATTTTGTCTGCTAAAGTGTAGTTTTCAGGTGCTGCAATAATGAACAAATTGGATTTAATGACTGCACTGACACGACATACATATAAACTCCAATAAAACGCTTCAATACTCCAATACATTAAGTAAAGGAACAGCTAACTCAAAAATGAGACTTTTGTCATTATCTACTCACTGTCATGCCTATTGAAACATGGATGAAGTTAGTGATCCATTCAACAGATTTGGAGCGTACCAACATAAATCCGTAGCGGCTGTCTCCAGAACAACTGATGTCAATGAGGACTCAATCAGTTGCGTTCTTTAGAGTCCAAAAAACAGCGAAAGATGGCCATGAAATCACTTCATATAGCTTGTGCAGCATTTTTAAAGTCTTCTGAAATCGAACGATTGAATCGTGACTGATAAAGTCGGGCAATACACCGTTACCTTGCGTAAATTTTTACTGCAGCCGTCGTATTTAAAAGAAGTTCTCGACTGTGTGCACCCACCCTGACTTCACTCATTTGCTCCCTGCTCGACAAGAACTCCCCAGCACTTCAGTATGTATCCAGCTGCGATAGGCATACATCACAGACATGGAAAGAGCTCTCCTCAAGTGAATTGTAATGCTAACCACTTAGCTTACTGATCAAACTCTCAAACAAAGAGGAAAATGTGTGATGATTTGAAGAGGAACAACAGTTCTTTGCCCAGCCTTATTTCGGTGTCTGTGCCCTACGCCTATTCGTTGCTCGGTAAATATGGAAGTGCCTGGGGGCTCTCATCAGGGAGAGAGGGAATGAATAAAGGCAGGACGGGTACATGCAATCGTGAAATTTTTAAAAATAATATGCCTGCGGAAAAAATTTGTTCTAAATAATGGTGTAATACAAGTATTTTCCAGTCATACTGCGATCGTTGGAATTCAGAAGATGAGGATTATGGTGAACGAGTTGCATGGAGTAATTTCCATTTTTGGCTGTTTTTTGGACTCTAAAGAAGAGTAATGACTGAGTCTCCATTGGCTTCAGTTGTTCTAGAGAGGGCTGCTGCAGAGTTTTTCTGGAATACTCCATATATGTTGTATGGATTAACAAACTTCACCTCTGTTTCAACTGGCATGGAGGTGAGTTAGTAATGACAATTTCAATACTTGGGTGAACTGCTATTTTAACTTTTCACTGTAAAGCAGCTTAGCTTTGCATTGAAGTAGTTTCCAGATTTTTCCCAAACAGTTCTGTAAGGGTCGTGCTTCGCACACTGGTGATGTGCGTGGAGGACAGGAAGTTGAGGACTAGACTCAGGTGCAAGGATGGATTTGGTTGTATTTATCATGCGCACTGCGCAGCAGAGAGGCACATAAGCAGCAAAACAAAAACAAAGAGGAAACAAGGTTCCTTAATAATGTTATTAGTAATACAACCCCAGTTCCGAAATAGTTGGGACAAAGTGTAAATTGTGAATAAAATCATAACGCAATTACTTTCAAATCACACCAGCCAGTACTTTATTGACAATAGAACAGAGATAACATAGCAAAATGTTGAAACTGAGAAATTTTACAATTTTTTCCACAAAATGAGCTAATTTCAAATTTGATGGCTGCTACAGGTATCAAAAAAGTTGGGACAGGGGCCTGTTTACCATGGTGTAGCATCCCCTCTTCTTTTTAACACAGAGTGGAGGCGTCTGGGCATTGAGGAGACAAGTTTCTTGAGTTTTGACATTGGAATTTGATCCTTATCTTGTTTAATACAGGCTTCCAGCTGCTGGAGAATTTTGGGTCTCCTTTGACGGACTTTTCGTTTAAATT